TGCCAATTATAGCTGGCAAACTTGGACCAGTTAGAGCCTACAGTTCTATTGAGAAAGAACAGCATCAGGCAGCACTTAATGTAATTTCAGAAGCTAACCATTTCCCTAAGGAAACACTAGAGTTTTGGCTCAGCCACTTAGAAGATGAAAGTGTGGTGCTACAGAGACCCAAATCAGACAAATTGTGGAGTATTATTATCTTGGATGTTATAGAGACATCAGGTTTAATCCAGCAGGAGGTGATGGAAAAGGCTGCAATATCCAGGTACAGTATAAATTGACAGAAGTATTCCTAGAAATCTGTAATTACCTGAAAACCTCTAAAAATATTCCTTCTAACTACAAAATTACTGTCATGTTGGTTCTATAGAGCAGGAAAAGCTTGTTTTCTGAATGGTTCAACCTCCCAGAGTGTTTCTGGTGGGACCATTGTATACACGTATCTTCTAAAAAAAGTGTCAAGATTTGACTTTCATAGACTTCTTTATATTTTGTATGCAAGAATATGAATGGAAGATACTATTGCTTGTTCTATCGGAAGTTCCCAGGATGGCCAACATCTTGGCAATTACTGAGGTAGCTCTTAGTGCAAGGTTAGAAAAGCCCAGATTCATTTACATGTCAAACTGTTGTTGGAACAAACTGGTACTGCTAAAAGACAAACCCTTGGTGTTAGAACAGCCAGGGAGGCAGCAACAAAGCTAGCTGTTAGCCATGGCGGGAGGGATGGGAAGGAATGCAGAGCAAGAGAAATAAAATAATGGAAACAGGTGGCAAAAAAAGTAAATGTGAAACAGGTTTGTGTCCTTCTGTACTGCTAGGGGAACCTTCTCTGTTTATCTTCATGCTTGGTGATGGCAGAATATTCCATATGATTTATGTTCATTACCTTTTCGAAGCCTTGAATCTTTGAATGACTTGAAAGACTTTTTTTGCTGTAAGAACAAATGGGAAATTACTCTGACTTTTGTCATATGCAGACAAAAATCCGTTAGTGTGAAAATACATCTAATAGTGCACTACTTACCTACCTATGAAAAGAGGCCTGCTGTAGGAAAAGGAAACCTAAAACAATCTGTATTGAATTGGAGGTGTTTGATATTATGCTGAGTGAAAGCTTCTAGCAGTTGCTGCGCTCAGTGGTGTGATACTCTGTAGCAAGAGACCAAGCAAGGCTCATGTGTTCTTTTCAGGAAAAAATGCTGTCTCCTGTATCACTATCAACTTTTGTTAAACACTTAAAGAAGGGCGAGTTAAATTTCCATTAGTTTTTGTTTCCCTGTGGGTATGCTGCCTTCTTAACCAGTGCCTCCCAACAGTATGTACTTCCTGACTTGCAGTTTTACTAAGTATCTCTGCCACTGTTAGATGCTGCTGCTATGAATAAATCCCACTATCTTCATCTTGAAATATCACTGTTTCCAATATTGACACTGAGAAAACACTACTTAGTTCTGTAGTTCTAGTATTATGTGACAAGTTTTCCTTTTTTGTCTGATACAGCTGTCTGGTCAAATGGGATCAAACGGAAATGCTTAGGAGCACTTGACTTCAGAGGAAGAACTAGTGTGCCTTTCTTAAACGTACTTAATGTTCTTTCATTACTGTTGAATGATATGCTTTAAAGGTGAAATCTCTCTCACTTTACAGATGTTTACTTCACAGTGGAGGGAAGATTTTCCCACAGTATGTGTTGGTATACGGGATGCTTGTAGAATCAGAGTCTCTGTTATTGGAGAGTGCTGTTCAAGGAACAGAACCAACTCTTGGGTTTAATATAGCCCCTTTTATCAACCAGTTCAAGGTAAGAAGTTGGTGGGTGTCTTCCAGGCACAGTTCCAAAGCCTGCAGCTGTCTAGCTGTTTAGTTTTGGTGTAAACTGCAAGAAAACTGAAGAGCTGAATCTTTTTCATATTGTTGAAGTTATCAAGAGAGGTTTATGTGACCAGACAGGGACCTTGAGATAAACTAAAATGGGTAATGTTTGTTATAGAACTGGTATAGAAGTTTTGTCTGAGTAATGAAAGATGCAGTGTTACTGTACAGAAGAGTGATTGTGCTGTTACTATCTCCTTCATCACCTTGTACCCCAACAGTCACACTTCAAAAGGGATTAGAAGGGTGTATTTTGCATTTTGGCTGTCTCTTACAGGCATTACAGTAATTCCTAGGAACTTTTGCATTATTATTAAGTCTTAACTTTTCACGTTTTAATGGCTATTGATGCATGAAGTTATGGTATATGCTCCTAGGTACCTGTTCGTGTGTATTTGGATCTCTCTACATTACCATGTCTACCCCTGAGCAAGCCAACAGAGCTTTTGAGGCTAGATCTCATGAACCCTTTGTTGAACAGCTCCAGCAGAGAAGTGAAGGTGAGTTGTGTATACATAAAGTTAGAAGTGTGCTTAACTGCTGTTCTCCAGAGCTGCTCATTAATTGCTCACCTTGGCTGAAAACTTCAGTACAGAATTTACTTGTCTGCAGGTATCTCTGAAATGGATTGAAATGGTTTGAACTACTTTATTTTCTTACTTCTTTGAAAAGGGTGTAACTGATTCCTATTTTAAATATTTTTAGGTACAAATTTGTAAGTCTGGCCAAGTCACTGCAATTCCCTTCTGGTACCACATCCATCTAGATGAAGACCATAGCTTGAATACATCTGATGCATCCTCACACTGGAAACAAGCTGCAGTTGTTCTCGATGAGCCCATCCAAGTTCAGGTTGGAGATGAACTTGTGCTTGATGTTCAACACCATAAAAGCAATATTAGCATTACAGTTAAACGGTGAAGAGTGTCATGTGTAAACTGATTTGTGGTTAATTACCTATGCATAAATTGACTGTTCATGACATCACTGATGTTAATTTATATTAAAGTCTAAATTTTATCTACTGATCAAAAAAGCTATTTTGTTGCTTTAATAGTTGATACTTACCTTCCACTGATGGACTAAAACTTGCACTGTAAGGGTATCTTACCAAGCAAGCAGTTAGGGGAGGTATTGTCTTCACTGCAGCAAAAACCTGATTGCTAGCTATTGCAGTGACTACAACAGTGGGACAGACTTCTCTTGCTACCATATCATCTGTAGTAAGAAAAAAAGCATCCAGATGCCTAAACCAGAAATAAACAGCTGTGGCTATTCAGAATAGAGTCCTTGTTTCTCACAGAGAAGTTCCACTTCTCAGTTGCCAAAGCCTCTGACTTAAGTGTATTGAGGTGTTAGCCTTGTAGTAGGGACTGTAATGCCGTTGCAGTATCACAAGTTAGTGTTGCACATAGACAATTATAAAAAGTTGTAAAGGAGTACTATTGAAGAACTTAAGTTGTATAGTGGAAGGTAAAGCTAGTAAACTTTTTAGAATCCCTCAGAGAATCATTTCTGGTAATGTAATGGGCCTGAACTCTTGTCTATATGAAAGTTGTATAAAGTATTACATCAGTCACCACAGTACTACTGCATCTCTTCTACAGCATTACATTTTGGTATAATCCAGGTAGCAAGTTCCTTCTATTAAATTTATATCCAAATGGAAGAGTAACAAAAGCTTCTAACCCAGCATTGATTCCGCCTCTGTAGAGATATGAGGAGGACTGTTAGCAAGATATTTCTGTAGCTGAGTTTCTTTATACTGTGCTGTCCATTCCATGTAGAAAAGGCATTTCTGTGATCTTTCCTTAACAGGAGCCTATATAAAGAGCCATCCACAAATAATTTTTCTAGAATCTCACTGCATGCAAGATCCATATGTACTCTTTATTAGGTCAAGTGTTTCAGATAGGCGCTCTCAGTTTAACTGCAGGGACTGCTGGAGCTGTGGTTGTCCCAGCCTGCAGCTGAACCTGCTCCTGATTGCTGTAATAAAGCTCCTTCTAGAAGGGTGGAGGAAAGGTCTCCAATTTATTTTATTTTATTTTCAAAACAGAGGTAATGACTAAGTCAAGTTTTCTGAAGATAAACTAACTGGTTACCATCCTTTATCCAAGGGGTACAAAGCATAACAAAATGAAAGTGAATTAGAGTAGGACAGAGGCTTTCCATACTAAATAGAAAACAGCTTTTCTTAAAAAACAAAAACAAAAAAACAACAAATCCATGGTCCATAAAATCTAAGTTACTGTCCAACACAACTAAACCTAGTAGGTACAGGGTATTTTCACCAAAGTGCAGTTTATTATAGAGAATTATTTAGGCTTCTTGTGCTGGAAAACCCCTGATAAAAGCAAAACCAGTAAATGATAAGGGTTAGGCATATTTATTAAGTTTTTTAGCAATTAATAAGACAGCAAAATGAGTTAAAGAAAAATGAAGGACATATTCTACCCTGATGCAATGAGACTAAGCACAGGGCTGAAAATGACCATTACTGAGTTTTCAAGCGGTGTGCTAAGTAAGGCAAGAGCAATCTTTAAGACTTCTTACTAAAAGCTGGGAGAAGATTAGGCAGAAAACAATGGAGGAATAAATACGGTTAATACAAAGATGAAGCGCTGTTTGCAAATGAACTTTTTATATAAACTTGATAAGTCATGCTGTGGAATGCTGTTGTAGTAGTTTTCAAAAGACAGTGTAGGTATCATTGAAAGATTTCTATTTATTGTGGAAGTTCAATAGCAATGGTTCATGGAAAGGTATGATCCTGTAAGCTACTGCAATGAAAATATAACTTTTCTCCCAGAAAAAAAAATGCAGGAATACTGTGCACATGGACTGATGGAGTAATAATAAAATAATGTAGTAGCTTTCCAGAAATGCTGTGAGAGAAGCAACCAGGACACTTAACTAGCTGTTTTCCTGTCAAAGTCCCCTCCCTGTATCTTACCTAAGTTTTACACCGCACACATATAACTTTGTGTTAAAAAAACCTCTTCAGTGTGATGTTTTTGAAAAGCTAGAGTGCAGTAGCTGTTTGCTTCCAGCAGCTTTGATCCTTCGGATGTTATTTCTACCAATGCCCCTTTTTACCTGTATATATGCAGGAAATCAGATTATTTCTAATAGTGGCTACAGTGGGCACTAAAGTCCCCAGGTGTTGAGAGGTCTCACAAGTTGTTTTCTTTTAGAACACTGCTATTACATGGATAAAAAGATACCTGGAATCAAGCATAAATAAGTAGATTCTGATTCTTCATAAGCTCAAACAAGAAATCCCTTTTCAGTACAAGCCTTAAAATACTGAAAGCACAAACTCTTGTACTAGTTATACTTAAGATCCTCTTCTTCCATGAAGAGGACAGTTGTATTCATGTATCATTCACTCTCTTAAATTACTGTAGCAGTAAATCAGATCAAAAGAAGGTAAACAGTTTAAATAAAATCTTTAATTGCTTATTTACAACAAAGGCAATGACTTGGCAAATTGGAAATTATGATTTGCACTTTCCCACTAACTTCAGATACAGCAAGTACATAGTCAACTATAAAATATGCAGCCTAGTGAGTAAGGCGCAATATTTACATCACACTAGTACTGCAAAAAAAGCACTTAAGATGAATTTACCATTGACAGCCAGAAGGTAAACGTTTATCCTGTAAATGCTAACAATGCTGAAAAAGAAACCTCAAATGTCACTTAAAAGGTCAGTGCTCTAGGTTTGGGTTTGGTGTTTTTTTTTGTCAGATTGCAAACATGCAATAGGAATAAAAATCTGGTAATGGCATAAAAACAATACCCCTCTGATTTTGTCAGTTTTTGCAAAATAACATTGATACAAGTGTACTTCTTGGTCTGAAATCTAATGCTAGTAACTCCAGTATTAGACTAGCTGCTTAGTTTTACCTTAGCAAAGGTCTTTTCTGGGATGGTGGTGGGAAAAAATCAACTATTACATTTGAATCCAGGCTATACTAGAAGCATAATACAATAATCACACACACATACACAAATTTATGAATACAAATTACTACAGACACATTGTCAAGATATCCTGCTTTAACAGCTTAAAAAAAAAACAACAACAACTTGTGTTAAAGAATTTATTGCAGCCCAAAATAAAGAAATCAGTTTTGGTTTTTACTTCCTTTTTGATGTCCTTTGTTCCCCCCCATGTATTTTAAGGTAGTAACCATTATTCTTATTTTAGAAGGATAGAAGAAAAGTAGTTAAGTGTAAGGTATTAATCCCAAACCTGTCATCCTGGCTGTCTCTTCTGAATGTAAAAGACTTACAAATTATGAGCTACAAGGACAACAGATACACCAACCATATGTTCTGGGCATGGAATTTTATAGTGAGGCCTGTAGGGAATGCTTTCTCTGTATCAATTCTTTACTGATGCTCTGTAATATTCTCTTCATGAAGGGGTTTTATTTAGCTATGCAGGAAAGGGAAGAAAATGGCATCTGTACAGAAGTTACCGTTTCATCCAAACTCCGTTCAGCATTGGGGTATGGAAGTTACCATCATTAAGAGGACAACCAAAGCTAATACAAACACTTTTTGCTACTGCCCTCTTGAAATTAAGTTTTCCCATTGCTAATAGTACTTACACTTCATCTTTAAAAGAGCAGACTATTTTTTCAAATGTTTCTCTTTGATTAATAAAAGTCAGTGTAATTCTGACATGTGTAAGTGTTGAGCAGTTTACGGAGTTGATTCTTAAACTTATGCAGAAACCTTTACAGTGTGCGTGTTTTATATTCATGGGGTACTCGCAGATACTCACATCCATTGTAGGTTCAGTATGCAGATGTCAGTTAGAGCCATGTCCTCTTCCTGTCTGTGCAGTAGTTTCTTCCAAGCTTTTCAACTTTCACCACTAGTAGTACATGTTAACAGAACATGTGTGGCAAGTATATAACAGACTCCTTGACACATCCAAAGAAAAGGTGAGTCTAACTTTTATCCAAAGCTTTCTCTGATAAATTGTGCTCTAGTTCGGGTGACTCCTCAGCATCTCGAATAGCAGAAGTGTTATAAATACCATCAACTGCAGGGGCTGTCGTTGGTGTTGTGAGAGGCGTCACAGTGTGTCCAAACCCCTGATAATGACCCATGGGCGAAGATGGCATTGAAGAAGCATCAGAAATTGGGTCTTGAGTAGATGAAGACAGTAAACTTGTATGCTCATTCTGTTCATGATCCTCAGCAAAAAACATTTTCCTTGGTTGGCCCAAAACTGTCCTTCCTAGAGTTATGCCAAACAAAAATACTTTTTAATATTACCAGCACTATACCAAGGCCTTTGAACACATCAACTCTAAAACAGGCATGTTAAGTTAGAAGATGTAAAACTGTTATAAAACAGAGATGCATGGACACTGTTAGCTTTAATAAATAAAAGAATGTCTTTCCATTTAAAAAAAGACATCCCTCTTCTACCTAACACACCTGAAACTTACCCTGAGATCCATCTATTTAAAGAAAAATTAAAAAATGGACTCTGAATCAGTCAGGAGTACTGGAAAGAGCAAAGTGCCAGACAAACCATGAAACTTCTAGGGATGCAGCTGCCACTAATTTGGTATGGGAAGTTCGCAAGGTACTACAGAGATGGATAATAGCTTAAAATGAAGCTGGAAATACATGTGCTGTTAACAGATCGCACAAATCTGTCTTACTTACCAACATTTCGAACCTGTTCTGATATATCTGCCCTTATATCAGAAATATCCCACATTGCAAGAAAAGAGTCAAAGCATGACCCTTCTTCAGCTTCTTGAACGTAAGGTTTATAGGAAAAACTGTAGTGATGCGCAATAGCAGCCAGGAACATCTCAACACAAATGATAAAATCCTGCAATGAGAGAGATACTGACTTAATCATTCATAACTGGAGAAAAATTATTCCTGGGTTTCTTCTACAATTGAAAGACTGCAATTGCCTTGGGATACTGGCATCAGCTACTTTTCCACTAGAGGTAGGATATTCTTGGCAGGCTTCAGAGCCATGTGCACTACACACATAACTGGAATTGGTCCTTGCTGATGGACGGACTTGCTGGAAGCAGACATTCAACAAGCAGCACCTCTACAATGAATTCTTGCAAGAAGAAATGCAAGGATATCCAACAGAAGTATTTACCTGGGGCACATTCCTTCTTCCCCACACATGGATATAGAAGTGTTGAGCATAAAACTCACTTGGGATGACTAGCTGAAACTTAGCCCAACTTATAATAAATACAGTACTAATCTAGCCTGTGTTAGTTAAATAAAGTGAGTATGACAATATTTGCTTGAGATCAGCTATAAAGAAGTAATTGTCCCTACCTGTAGGCCTGTAGCCACAGCTTCCACACTTTGCCATTCCCAGGTGTGTTTCTCAGAAATAACGCCAACTTTCACCAACAATGCAATAAGCACAGCTTGCCTATAAAGATTATTTTTTATTATTATTGTAACAGTAATGCCAAAAAACCTGCAAGCAAATCTTGTAAACGAGCCCTGTTCTTATGTGTACACAGAAAGAATCTTACAAAAACCATACTGTTTATATATTTAGATTTTAAGAGGAGGAAAACAGACTTAAAAAGAGATGTCATTCATCCATAGTCCTAAAGACCAACAGAAAACAAAACCAAAGAAGAGTGTGTTGTTCCAGTTAGTTATTAGAACAAGTTGCTTCTCTTTCAGGGTACTACTGCAGCCCACAGAGTAATGTTCAGATAATCAAATGTACTCACTCATTAGCAGTTAAGTGTAAGCAATGCTTAAATAGTAATTTATAGTTAAGTTATAGTAACTTATTTTGAAAAATTTAAAGTAATTATTTTAAAAAGTAAAAAAAAAAATAATCGTTTTTTGTTTCAAAATAACTGCAAGTGAAGATTCTAAAACAATCTCAAGTGAACAAGACTGCTCTGTCCAACATACTAGTACCCTTTTCCCCTCACAGCACTTCACGAAGATTACGGGTAGACTTTTTGAGGCCTCTAACCTCAGTAACAAATCCAGCTTTTTTAGCTCTTGTATGATCCACCCTGAGAGCAAGACGTAATGAGTAAATAATTCACTTACCAGAAGGAAACAAAAACTACCATCTTCACACAAAGGAACTTGCCAACAGGTTGGATAGGGTTCAGTTCTTCACGTAGTACTTTATAAAACAGCACCAGACAATACATCGCAAACTAACAAGGAAAAGAAAATGAAGAAAAGCTTTCAAATCCTTGTTTATTTTGTGTTGGAGTTGTTACACAGCATCTCTTCAGTTAAAAAATATAACACAGTACAATACAAACTTTAAAAGCTATCTCTTTTAGAAAAGAAGCTCTGGATTTATGGAATCTTTGCTTTACTGTTTTAAAACAGACTTTTTTTTTTCCTGAAATTGTATTTCTGAAATGCATGGTATTGGCAGACAGAGACTGAGGTCATCTATCTACACACTAAAGCAAAGCATAGGAAGGTCCCATAAAATTTTTTCAATGCCAAGCACATCTCTAGGGAAAATGGCATAAAAAGCACACGTTCTTTCAGGCTTCTGTTATGAACACCTCAAATGTTGCCTCTTTATGAGAGATGAGGCAATGAATGCAATCTTCACTGCAAATCTGAACAAGTTTCCTGTTACTGACAACTGCAAGCACCCAAAACTAACGTACAGCCAAACCTAAGGAACCAATCTCCCCTTTTCATGCCTATTCTCCTAGCCTCTTACTACTAAGTTTCTTTAAGCAATCATGTCAACCAGGACATGCAGAAGTATGTGCTGCTGCTAGAACTGTTGTCACAGCAGAAAGCAGTTACAGTCCGAAACAGTCACCCATCAAACACAGGTGGCACTAGGAGGAGGACACCCTTTCTAGATGTGATGTCATGCTGTCCTGATTCCTGGTGCTGTTGTCAAGAGAAGAAAGAAGCTTGGAGGCTAGAAGGCTAAGCAGCGAGGAGCCAGAGCTGCTGCTCTCTCCTCTTGCAATAGCTCGTGTGTAGTATACCCTGGGTGAAGCAGAAAATGATTCCTCTGCATTCCCAGCAAGCCACTAAATGCAATCCCTGACCTACAAAATGAAACTTTCAAGTCTAGGAGCTGACCTTACCCTTACCCTGACATCATCTGGCAGCTGAACCAACAAGACAAGGTGTTAGGCAGGCCAGAATCTCAGCACTGCATGCACCGTTTCCATTTTTTCCTGTCAATGCTGTTACCACCAGCTTTGTAACACAGTATTTTTAACACAGCCACTTCTGATTCTTTGTATGTGTGCTGGGAAGAAGCTACCAGGGTGAGTCAAGTCATCTCTTCTGCAGAGGGGCAAGTCTGTAGCTCTAACGTGCCTGGGCCATACCACTTCACCCATCAAATAGTTTGGGGTAGAGAGGCGGGACACTTTATTACCTTATGGAGCTTCATAGTAAAAATAACAAAAGTTTTAGATTATCTGTTTTTCTAGTATTTTGCATGCATAGTATTTAACAGACAGTAACTTTGACTTACAGTGGGAAATAATCTACCCATAAGAATTACCAGACGTTAACACAATTACCGTCAATAGTTCACATAGAAGATTTACATAATACTAATATGATGACTTAAAAGAACAGAAAGATGTACTCTTGATACTCACTAGCTGTGACATGTTGTTAAGTATAACCAGGTAAGTCCAAGCATTGTTGAAGCTGAAGTTTCCTTCATCATACACTCCCACTAGTTCACAAATTCTGAAAGAATTTTTAGAGTTCATCACTATGCAGTAAAAGATCACTTTCTTGAAGTGCTAAATCTTCAGTACATCGATCAACTGTTAGAATCCAGAATCTTTTTTGGTACTCAAATATGGGCATTGGTGAGTCTGCACAAGAATCAGTTTTCAACAGCATATGGCATAGGAAGTTTGTATTGTATTTTCCGTAGAAGAAACAGTGTTTGAATGCAGCATTAACATATCTCATTGTGGAATGAATGCAACAATTAAACATAATCTTTTTTTTTTTTAGCTGTTTTGCTTTTAACTGTTAGAACACATACAGCTAATATAAATACTTATATGGATGTTCTTTCTGAGTAGCAACTTTTTTCACAGTCCCATAGATTTAACAGTAATAATCATCAATACAAAGTTCATGAAATTAAGCTTTCAGCATCAACATGCATAACTGCCTGCTATTCCTTTACAACAACAGGTTATATGATATGTATGAAGGCACACAGTAGGGCTTGTCACATGCAAAGTTTAATCAAATTTAAAAAGTTACATGAAATACCAAATTGTTGGATGCACTGCAAAAAGGGAGAAGGAGGAAAAAAAGACTAAAAATTAAGAGATCACAAAGATGTCTTTCCCACATAAACACTACTTCACATTCTCTCCCACTGCCTTCAGCAGCAGGCATTAAGTATTTATTATTTCAATTCTACAAATAATCATTTTCTATAGAGAAATCATAGGTTGATTCAAATTGCCGGGACCCATTTAGCATGTAACACAACAAGTCTACTTTCAAACTGCCTTGATTCAATACAAAGGGCATGAAAATTCTTCCCAGTGTAACTCAAAATTATATCCTGAAGATCAATATTAATTATTGATAAGCATACTTACAAAGCAATAATGGTAGTAAATGGTCTGACAACAGTGTACTGCAAAACACCCAGTTTACATCTAAATAATAAAACTCTGCAAGAGAAACACAAAATTCATTGTACAAGAATTTAAAGACAATTCACTTATGGAAGTTTCCTGTTCTTAGTAGTTTCACTAAACTAAATTTTTATTTCATGGTAATTTCAACTTCTGCTTCCAGGACATCAGATGCTACAGTATATAGCATGTATATACACAATACGCAAAAAACCTAGACTTTCATAGATGTATAACAGGAAATAGTCAGTGATTCACTTCTTTTAGCCATGGAAAGCTTCTGGCTGGGATAAACAAAGAGAATGCAATTTTCACTGTGTTTGAAGGCATTTAAGAATTACTTATATTCATAGTTTAACATTTTAAACAGCTTTATCAAAATCTCTTAAGAGAGATGCTTATCAGATTAAGCACACAAAAACAAACAGTTGGGGGCATGTGGCCATTTGTCCTTCACCTGTGGAAGTAAAAGCAATAGGCTATCTGGTCTACCAGCGATTCTTCATGAGGTTTTTGGCAAATGTTACATGACAGCAAAGGAAGCAAATTCAAGGAGACCTTTATCCAATATTTCTGAAAAATAAGGAAGTTTTCTTCCGCACCACCTGAGTCAATGCATGTCAGTAACTAAGTGCAATTTATAGGATGTTTTACAGCTAGATGAAAACATGTTCACAGCTGCTTTCAGTACAGATTCCTAGCTGATAAAATGTGTGCAAACCATAAACTGACTCTGCCAAGCAACAACAGTTATATTACTAAATATGAAAACAACATGTTTGTTTCTGATTACACAGCTTAAAATTTTAAGATGTCATCATATACTCACTCTCCCATAGCCCACGACGGACAACAACATAGAGGCGGCAGATGTCTCTGCTGATCTTTCGCTTCTATTATTAATACGAGGTTTGGATACCGGTTGGTTAGATAATTTGAAAGAAAAACCATAAAATTATAGATGACATAAGCTTCATAGCATTCTCGACATGTATCCACATATATTGCAATGTTGGGGTATTTCAAAGCTATCCACTGTAAGAAGAGAGGTACACGAAAGGTTACATGTGAGAAAGACAAAAGTGATTCCAATGACAACATTGGCTGGCTAGTTCAGCAAGCAATACTTCATTAGATAGCAGGCACTAATTAAACAGGGCTTGAAGCATTTGGCTAACAAGAGTGTTATGCTATGGCTAGAAAATAACATTCTGTAAAAATACAAGTAGAACTTCAGATTGCATCTCTGCTGCTTCAAATGGAAGCATGCTTAAAGCACTGTGCAAGAGATGCTCTGTATCTTTGACCACACAATTCAGTCTTTCATTTAAAAGGAACTAGGGAGATGGTTCCCTACACATAACCTACTCCTGTTAGGAGGAGACAAGACAGAACCATTTCCTGAAATTCACAAATTCATTGTCAATATGGGTTTGAGACTAAGTTTTTAGTCCATCAGTATAAAGTTGATTTATTTTGGTATCTAATATGTAAATGTTTGTTCTGGCATGTTTGCAAAATATAAAAGGAAGCAGCAGATTAGCCTTAAAGTGGTAATCATCCCTCTAAACTAGAATTTCAGACAGAAAAGTGATTTTTTTTTTTTTTTTTTTTTTTCAAAACTGTGATTATGGATCAGCTATCAGAGGTTTCAATTTTTGAGTATCACACTGCTGTTGCACTGTTCAGTGCAATCTGTCCTACTGCGGTTTTTTTGTTTGGGTTCTTGGAGGAGGGGGGAAGAGTTAAATAGAGGCAGGTGTTTTGAGTTTACTTTGCTTCCCTAGGTTGTAGCAGAGAGAATGTTGTGCCTTCTCTGACCTTCTTATTAGAACTACTGGAAGATGCTTCACATCCTCATTGCAGTTAAAAAATACTAGAGATGACAGATGTTGCAACACCTTTGTGGAAGATGTAATACCACACCTACTAAACTGAGAATACAGTATTTGAATCTGAGAAGAGAACTTTATGTTCAGCTCAGGTTAAGCACTCTAGGAGGATACCATATATGCAGCAAAGGCCATAAGATCCAGGAGTCTGGGGAAAGATTTCAGTATGTCAGAAATGTCCCTGAATGCCTGGCTAGAGCTCATTTAATTAGCAAGTAATTTTCTTCCAAAGGAAAATTCTGTACTTGAAATTGAAGTATCACCCTGCGGTAGCTGATATTCCCCATAAGGCACAGATAATGTTGTTTTCTTCCCCACTTTCCTTCGTTCTCAGATATTCTAAATCCCAGTCTCTCTCTCAAAAAAAAAAAAAAAAAAAGAAAGAAAGAAAGAAAATAAGAACATATATAAAGGTGACACTTCATAAACACTCAAGGGATGGGAGAAAAATCAAAAGTTCCTGGAAAGCTGCCTTTTATGGGGGAAACAGAAGTATTTGCAATGTCAACAGGTGATGATAACATGTAAACACACATCCTATACAGTCCACAGATTTAGTATGTTGCTTAGCTCTGGCTGACCAATAGGTGACATATTTACATGAACCATATCTGGTATGGCCAATAGAATCTACTGCATAAAAATATTCAGAAGTGGATTTTTTGTGGGATCTTACCCTTTTCCTCCTGAAGCAAAAAGGAAGAATTCTAGCACTAAGCATAACTTGGGAAAGAATTTTAGTACTAAGCCTAACTCAGGAAAGAAAGGTAAGGCACTGAATTTTGAGACAGTACTTGAATCAGTCTGGTTTCCATTTCAGCTGTTACTGAAGATGGAAGGACCAAAAGCAGGCTCTTGTTGTACCCCTTTCCACATCTGTCATAAAGGATACTCAAGGACAGGGTTAGCAAAAGCGATCCCACAAGCTCCACAAGAAGAATGTAATATCGCTAGAACTATGCTTCTGATGTACTCCACAAACAGGAATGCCCAGAAGTTTCTAGGACTACAACTCCCCATGCAGCACAGTTTCTGCTAACTGTGACACTGTTTTCCCTCACTCCCACAGCAAACAGAATTTTATTGAGCTGTTAACAGTAAGAGAACACTTACACTGTCTAAACTGTAAATCGGCACCATCCACAGAATCCTGTTACAATAACAAAAGAACATTTAATATTACTAGAAGTATTTTTAGTCTGATTTAAATTCAACATTTGTACCACAGGTAAAATGCAAAATATTACCTGATTATTGGTTTCTGTAATTCAGGTTGAGTATAATGGACTAAGTGTTGTAGTATTCCCCAGAGAGATATTGGTATAGTCATCAGTAGAAATATCCCAGCGATAAACCATGCCTTGGTATGAATTCCAACCTTGCAAAGAAAAAGAAAAATGCAAGATCAAAGTTTCAGTATTAATACTTGTCGTGGTTTAACCCCAGCCAGCAACTAAGCACCACGCAGCCGCTTGCTAGTACAGGAAGAAAAATAATTTCCTTTTTTTTTTTTACTGCGAATAAAGTTTTAAGATGGACATTAAGTAAATATCCCAATATTAAGTTTAGTTTTTCTAACTCTGCTTTTCTAATACACAAAATCCCAAAGTCTCCCTTGCAATTTGTTGATGTGGCTTACAGTAAAACTTAAAAACTCAGAAAGATGAGAAATCTTGCAGAACCAACCTAAATCATCACCAATAAACACAAAACAGCCTAAAAAAAATGTAGCAATTCTCACTATTTAATTTACTGAAAGCCACAATGGATTCCTTGCTTTAGGTCTGCAACTTGTCTCAGTTCAGTGCTTCATTATAAAGTTTCTGAAAGCTTGTGGATTTAAAGTGTTTTTAGCTTTAAAAATCAAGTTCCAACTAGTAATCAACTTCAACTAGTTTTGTTTAACAATGTGAAATAGATATGCATGTGTGTATATATATAAATATATAATGTCTGCTAAAGCACAAGGCTACAATTTTAAACCAAAGCTCTCTGAAAAATAACTGTATTAGTAATCCTAGAGTACCAAAACCTGAGAAACACAGTAGACTCTTCTCAAACAGTTTTTTTTGTTGAGAATTTCTTCTGTGACCCCCTACTGTACATGAACACCTCATGTCTTCTGTTGTTTTCCTGTTCAAATATTGCTTCCGAGTAGTTTCCCTACCAGTAACAGATTTAACGATTTTGAAATTTCAGATACCGCTTTGTTATAAACACCCATTACGCTGGACATACGACGGCATCAGGACAGGGTTTCAAAACTGGAAATTTAAAATACACTCAAGGCAGATTCTACTGCCATTAAGTGCTTAAAATTATACCATGAGAAAGCTTAGCTCCGGTGGAACAAGCCTGTATTAAAACTGGACAGTATATACTACAGTACCAAGAGCAGCTTCTCTACCTGCTATCTCAGTTCTCCCCGATCAGACAGAACTACCCGAAACATTAGGTGATCAATGCCAATTAGCACTAAGTGTCAAAAAGTAAGTTCGGGGCAGGGCAGCGGCAGAGCTCCAGCCGCGCTCCTGCAGAGCCCGACTCCAGCACCTTCAGCACGGTATCACCTCTTCAACCACCAACGACTATCGAAGCGGAAGGAGGAAGAAATCCTGCGCTGTCCCACCCTGCTTCGTTTGTGCTTTAACACCACGGCAAAGCCACACAGCACCACGGCGGAACTTCCCCAGCCTCTCTTCTCCGCCTTGGGTCTCTACCCGGGCCTGGAGGGCGCTGCCAACCCCCCTCCGAGGAGCGAAGCCGCCCCGCACCGGCCCTGCGGACGGGCCCGGGCTGGCAGCCCCCCCCCCCCGCCCCCGTCCCAGCCGCGGGGCTGCGCGCCGCGCCCCGTCCCTCACCTCCAGCTTCTGCAGCTCCCAGACGCAGAGCGGCACCACCACCAGCAGCCCCACGATGTACAGCAGCACCACCAGCGGCCGGATCCACCGCCGCCAGTTCCCGCAGGTGCACGGCATGGCCCCGGCCACGCCGCCCCGCCGGGCCACACCGGCACCGCCCCCCGCGCCCCTC